GACTCGACGGCACATAACAACAAGAGATTAGAAAGGAGTAAGGTGGTATTTTTTTGCTTATTAGATTTAAGCAATTGGCAGATCACATTCTTTTAGTTCTTACTTTTGATTGATTATGACATATGAGGCAGTGTGTGGCAGTCCGAATACTAACCACTGCTCCCATCACCTACCCACCTAAGAGGGGCAGCTGGTGTCATGCACAGTGCTAGGTGCTTCACATATCCTCCTTTACTACTCTTAACAATATTGAGAGACAGGGATTATTAGCCCCATTTTAGATGAGGAAACTGGCTCAGGCAGGGCAAGACTAATGGGTGGCAGAACTGAGACTCAGACCTGGGTCTGTACAGCTCTTTTCATACTACCATGTTTGTGGAGGTAATGGATTTCAGAACTGTGGGGGGAACCAAGAAGGATGGAAAGTAGGAGTAACGGTTGAAAGGCTCAAGAATGGAGCTCAACTCCCAGTAGGATGGCTAAGATAAAAACAGGGAAAGTAACAAATGCTGACAAGGATATGGGGAAATTAGGACCCTTACTCATTGCTGATGGGAATGCAAAATGGTACAGACATTATGGAAAACAGTATGGTGCTTCCTCAAAAAACTAAAAATAGAACTACCATATGACCCAGCAATTCCACTCTTAGGTATATGCCCAAAAGACTTGAAAGCAGAGTTCCAAAGAGACGTGCATATCAATGTTCATTGCAGCACTATTCATAAATAGCCAAATGGTAGAAACAAGTTAAATGTCCATCAACAGGTGAATGGATAAACAAAATTTATGGATGCACCACATTTCTATTTATCCATTCACCCATTACTACTCAACCAGTAAGATAAATTAAGTCTTGATATGTGCTACAGTATGGATGGAGCTTGAAGACCTTATGCTCAGTGCAACAAGTCAATCACAGAAGGACAAATATTGTATGACCTCCCTTACATAAAAAGACAAGAAAAGGCAAATGTGTAGAGACTAAAGTTTATTAGTGGTTACCAAGGTTGAGAGGAGGAGGAAAAATGGGGGTTAACAGTGATGGAAAAATCTCACCAATGTAGGGTAGGATTGCACAACTGATTATTAAAATTGTCAGTAAGTTGTACACCTGTAAAAAGTTGAACTGGTAAAAGTTGTGTGATATATTTATAACAATGACAAAAACAAACAAACAAAAAGCTGCTGAGGCTGCTTATGTACAACCAAATACTTTGTGGGATTTGGTTACTTACTTTGGAGATTTAGGATCATGTTTTCATGGAGCCAAGCATGATATACTTCTCTAGGGAATGGTCCCTTCCAACAACATGACCAAAGTAGGTGAGACGAAGCCTGGCCACTTTTGCTTCCAAGGAGCAGCCTGCCTCCTTGGAAGCAAAT